TTTCATCCAAGGACATAATTTATACACAGAAAAGGCACTTGGGTTTGTCTACAAGTAAGCAGGAGACTGTGTTCCAAGATACAATATAAATTTTATTAACACCAAGTTAAAAACCTATTCTAATGGAGGCAATAATGATTCTTAAAATAAATATTCAGCCAAGGCTGTGGCTTTCCAGTGGTTAGTCAGCTACAAGACACAAGGATGGTTCAAGGTAACACAAGAGCAGAAATTCACCCACAAGCTGTGATGCACGAGACACACGTGGAACGAAACCTACACAAGACTGGACTGGCACCTTCAACCTGGAATATAAATATGAAATTAAGTAAACAAAAATAAATATGAATAATATTTAAGAATTACAAAACAAACAAACATGGGCCTCACATTCATATATAAAAATAGTTGAAATTGGCCCCAGCCTTTAGTTCAGCCAGCCAATCTTCTCTCAGGTAAGACACTGCCTAATTATGGTGACTCAAGCAGGCTGTGAGAGTCCACCAATGCAGGACTGAGCAGAATGAGGACAGCTGGGAGTGCACCTGTAAAACCACAAAATAAAATACGGTTAGCAAGATTGTTTCAATTATTGAGCTTATTGACATTATTATTATTATTGATGACATTATTTCCGTGAAGATCAATACATTTTGAGTCGGTGCATGTAACTTGATCTCTCCATGACTTGCATGACAAGTTTATAATGTTCCATCTTAATTTGATATTTACCTGTGGGTGGATGTGCCACCAGGTGAAGTGAGTTTCACGTGGACTCCAATAGCAGCTTCAGCCTGGCTAGCTTTCTGTGAGAGGACAAGCTGCTGTTTCTGAGCCCTCTAAAAGCAGACTCTTTCTTAGCTGGTGCTGTGAAATTATTCCAGGTGAAGAGAGAAGGAACAACTCAACTTTAAAGCAGCTGGTGGTGGATTTGTGGACAAAATCCTCCCGAGTGAAATGCAGACTACAGGTCCTTCTAAAAAAATTAGCATATTGTGATAAAGGTCATTATTTTCCATAATGTAATGATAAAAATGAAACTTTCATATATTTCAGATTCAAAAATGAAACTTTCATATATTTCAGATTCATTGCACACCAACTGAAATATTTCAGGTCTTTAATTGTTTTAATACTGATGATTATGGCATACAGCTCATGAAAACCCAAAATGCCTGTCCTAAAAAATTAGCATATTTCATCCCACCAACGAAAGACAAGTGTTTTTAATACAAAAAACGCCAACCTTCAAATAATCACGTTCAGTTATGCACTCAATACTTGGTCGGGAATCCTTTTGCATGAATGACTGCTTCAATGTGGCGTGGCATGGAGGCAATCAGCCTGTGGCACTGCTGAGGTGTTATGGAGGCCCAGGATGCTTCGATAGCGGCCTTAAGCTCATCCAGAGTGTTGGGTCTTGCGTCTCTCAACTTTCTCTTCACAATATCCCACAGGTTCTCTATGGGGTTCAGGTCAGGAGAGTTGGCAGGCCAGTTGTGCACAGTAATACCATGGTCAGTAACCCATTTACCAGTGGTTTTGGCACTGTGAGCAGGTGCCAGGTCGTGCTGAAAAATAAAATCTTCATCTCCATAAAGCTTTTCAGCAGATGGAAGCATGAAGTGCTCCAAAATCTCCTGATAGCTAGCTGCATTGACCCTGCCCTTGATAAAACACAGTGGACCAACACCAGCAGCTGACATGGCACCCCAGACCATCACTGACTGTGGGTGCTTCACACTGGACTTCTGGCATTTTGGCATTTTCTTCTCCCCAGTCTTCCTCCAGACTCTGGCACCTTGATTTCCGAATGACATGCAAAATTTGCTTTCATATGAAAAAAGTACTTTGGACCACTGAGCAACAGTCCAGTGCTGCTTCTCTGTAGCCCAGGTTAGGCGCTTCTGCCACTGTTTCTGGTTCAAAAGTGGCTTGACCTGGGGAATGCGGCACCTGTAGCCCATTTCCTGCACACGCCTGTGCACGGTGGCTCTGGATGTTTCTACTCCAGACTCAGTCCACTGCTTCCGCAGGTCCCCCAAGGTCTGGAATCGGCCCTTCTCCACAATCCTCCTCAGGGTCCGGTCACCTCTTCTCGTTGTGCAGCGTTTTCTGCCACACTTTTCCCTTCCCACAGACTTCCCACCGAGGTGCCTTGATAAAGCACTCTGGGAACAGCCTATTCATTCAGCAATTTCTTTCTGTGTCTTACCCTCTTGCTTGAGGGTGTCAATGATGGCCTTCTGGACAGCAGTCAGGTCAGCAGTCTTACCCATGATTGCGGTTTTGAGTAATGAACAAGGCTGGGAGTTTTTAAAAGCCTCAGGAATCTTTTGCAGGTGTTTAGAGTTACGTCGTTGATTCAGATGGTTAGGTTAATAGCTTGTTTAGAGAACCTTTTCATGATATGCTAATTTTTTGGGACAGGCATTTTGGGTTTTCATGAGCTGTATGCCATAATCATCAGTATTAAAACAATTAAAGACCTGAAATATTTCAGTTGGTGTGCAATGAATCTGAAATATATGAAAGTTTCATTTTTATAATTACATTATTGAAAATAATGACCTTTATCACAATATGCAATTTTTTTAGAAGTACCTGTACATACAAGTGCTCCCTGGCTTTATGCAGAAGTCGGGACCATGATCTCTTCTGATCGCATGGATCCACTGCCTTTTTTGGTACGGGTACGTCGTGGAAAGCATGGTAGGTATAGTTGTTTTCTTGCCCCACAAGAACAGCCAGGAACTGAACAAAAGCAACCGCACCGAGACTGAGCCATTTTCCTCACTGTCTAATGCTAACGCTATAGCCACCGGAAGTTGTTGAACACCACATCCGCTTTAAAACGCGGAAGCGTGAAAAAGGTCTATTAGTAATTTCAGAAGGTCTATGTGCTCATTATTATTATTCTTATTGGGATGTATGTTATAAAGGTTGTGGGTTGTTTACAAGAAAGCTTTGAGTTAAGGCCAGTCAGCAGTAAAACAGGGGTGACCAGTTTAAGGTGTACGTGTCCCAAACCACTGAGGCTGCGGAGGAAAACATATTACGCAAGAGTGGAAGTTCTAGAAGGAATGTGATCAAACAGGTGGCAGGACCATGGAGTGTAAAAACAGACGAGCAGCTGACCACAGGTAGAATGGTTTGATCAGGAAGCGGAGCTGACCAATTATCCATAGATTTGTGCTTTTGTTCATATATTTTTGCTTGTTAAAAATAAACTTAAAGTGTGAACGAGCCCGTGGTTCCTTCGAATTTACCACCCGGGAGAGAACGTGTGAAGAAGAGTCACAATCCTCAACTCTTCCTTCTGAAATCCACCATCTTCTTTGTCTTCTTCACATTGATATGAGAGTTATTCTTCCTTAAGAACTCTCCAGGTGTTCCACCTCCTGCCTGTAGCTGGACTCATTGTTTGTGATACATCCCACCACCACTACATTATCTTCAAACTTTACAATATGACAGTCTGGATGGGTAGGTGCACAGTCATATGTGAGCAGAGTGAACAGGAGGGGCCTCAACACACAGCCCTGAGGGGAGCCAGTGCTGAGGGTTATGGTGGAGGAGAAGTCTGGGGTAGTGGGTTAAAGGTTGCAGATGCCAACATAATAAATAAACTCATTTGTAGGACCAGAGATGATGTGGGTGTGGAGATGGTCTCATTGAATGTGGTGGGGGAAAAGAGGATGCTGTCAAAGCTTAAGACCATCTTGAACACCTTACACAAGCTTTGTGGGATCCTGGACAAATGTTGGAGATCCTTCAACCAGAGACTACTGCAGCTCAGATGTTCCACTGAGAGAGACAGGAAATCACTCCTGCCAGTGAGAATCAATTGTTCAATGCCTACCTCAACATTTCAGATACTCAGAATAAATAACCCTCTGGTGCACAGTGTGAAAAGTTTTGAAATTCCTTTATCTTTTTTATTTCTTTTAACTTGATAATTTGTCTGGTTTTCATGTTTTCATTTGCTTTGTTTTTATTGTCTATTTCATGGTTTTCTTCTGTATATTTGTGGAGTGGATGCAATAGTGTTGAATTTCCCTAATAAAGTATTTCTATCACTAATCAGTTATTGAAATAACATGATCAATAAATGGTAAATGGACTGTACTTATATAGCACCTTTCTATCTTATTGAGATACTCAAAGCGCTTTACACTACAATCTGTGTCCTTATTTACCCATTCATACAGCACTCTTATTATATCTCTACAAAGCTAATTGAACAAATCATTCTAAAGAGGCTAATCAGAGCTTTATCGCATTCATACGCTGATGGGACACACATCGGAGGTAGTGAGGGGTTCAGTGTCTTGCCCAGGGACACTTCGGCATGTGACCGCTGGTGGATTCGAACCCCCAACTCTTGCATTGGAGGACGACTGCTCTAACCACTCAGCCACAGCCGCCCTGATCATTGACTGTCAGGCGGCTGCAGTCAAAAGATTTTCTGCTCTAACAGCAGTTACAATAAATGGCAGAGAACGGATTGGTTTTGGGCTACTCACCCTTATCCAGCATGTAGGAAAAAACCAACAACATCCTCGGTCCAAAGGAACGTGGCTGTATTCATCAGTTTGGATGTAATTATGAACATGTAGACACTGCATGCATGATGCATGCAGCTGAGCCCAGGGTTGCCAGATAAGGTTGTTTTACACACTTTACGTTTGGGTCAAAATGCAGTAATTTTAAAGCAACAGTGCAGTATAGCTCATCTTTTCTTATCTGGCAACCCTACCTGGTTTGGAAACTACAGTGTTTCCATATAAACTGGCTCCTTTTTTTTTTGTTGTTGTTAATTTGCCCCGCCAAACATTGAAAAACACGATTGTTTCCAATAGTGGTTCTCATGTAAACCAAGCCTTAAACTGTGTGTAAAACTCAGAACTTTGTCTTTATTTGTCTGTTTCCTTCTGTGAAAGTGCAGTAAGCACATTGGGCTCTGATTGCTGACTTGAAGCATTCTGTCACTCCAACAGATTTCTGTTCCATGTTTCCGGAAGCACCATCCTCTGATATGGTGATTGTCACAGTGACCCAAAAGACCAAAAATGATATGACATCATGGAGTGCTGATGTGGATCAGGAAAGAGATCAGATGCTTGACAAGGTAAACCGCTTCTTAGTACAATAAACAGAAACCATTTTTCTCACTGTCTGACATTAAATCAGACAAAATTCTTCCTTTTTTAGGTCTGTTAGAATTCCCAAAATTATTTCTGTTTGTCCATCAGTTTAATACAGAGATCCTTTTATCACTTTTGTGATAAAATTTATTTGTACTAATAAGTACAAATCTGTTATTAGTGGAAAAAACTACTTGTTACTATTAAAACTACTTGTACATGTCCAGAGCACATTGTTTGAACATTATTTTAATGTATAACTATAAATTTAAAGGCTTATACAAACTTGACCATGATCCTGTTGCAGTTTGTTCATGGAGCCAAGGAGATCTGTTTGACTCTGCAGCAGGAAGGATTCTGGGCAGATTTCATCGATCCAGCTTCTGGCCTGGCAGTAAGATTCTCTGATATCCATCCTCCCTTGCCCGGGGATCTTTAAACAATCCAGACCAGGGGTGGGTAACGTTTTTTTCCCAGAGGTCCAAGTTAAAGCAATCAAAGGACCACATGGAAATTTTGAAAATGAATTTCCTTTGACAGATCATCCAGAAAACTTTTTTTTCAGGCTTTCACTTGTAGCAAAGTTAGCATGCTTGATAAATTCTAGTTTTTATTCTGCCGAAAAGTATTTATCTTCTTCTTTTGGCTGCTCCCTTCTTCAGAGGTCACCACAGTGAACTAGCTCACATGAAGACTTGATTGTTTTTACGCTGGATGTCCTTCCTGACACAACCACAGACCACTGAGCTACTGCAGCCCTCTGTGTGGAGCAGAGAGCTGCTATCTAAGGCACCCAGGGGAGCAGCTGGTGGGGGTAACGGGCCTTGCTCAGGGGCCCAGACTGGGGCAAATGAGGGTGGGGACGGGTGTGGGTGCTTCACCTTTCCCACCCACATTTTGATGTTGGTCCAGGGAGTTAAATCGGCGATCTTCCGATCACAGGCTTGCATTCTGTAGCCAATGCGCCACCACCACCCCATTCTGCCATAAAGTATAGTTTTCTCAAATGATTGGGGTAAAGTACTAATACTTTTGTCAGTTTCAAGGTTTTTTGTGACCTTTGTGGGTTTTTATAGTAAAATTGTGTATTCAAAAATATTTTACCCCAAAAACAGAAAACGAGCTGTTGATCGTGTACATTCTGGTGTCGACAAGTATAAAATGGACTGTTAATGGATGGACTGTACTTATACAGCTCCTTTCTATCATATCAAGATACTCAAATATCTGTACACTACAATCTGTGCCTCGGTTACCCATTCATACAGCACTCTACCAGATCTCTACAAAGAAGAATCAAGAGTTTTATCACATTCATACACTGATGGGACACACATCGGAGGCAATGAAGGGTTCAGTGTCTTGCCCAGGGACACTTCAGCATGTGACTGCTGGTGGAATCAAACCCCCAACTCTTGCATTGGAGAACGACTGCACTAACCACTCAGCCACTGCTGCCTCAAATTTTTAACATTTTTAAATGTCTTAAAACCAGTAAATAGTTTCAGTTTCTTTAATATTGTGACGTTTGTGTTTCCCTCCCCAGTTTTTTGGTGCGTACACCAGCAACACGCTGTTTGAGACTGATGACAGGTACCGTCACTTGGGCTTCCAGATCGAGGACCTGGGCTGCTGCAGAGTGATCCGACACTCTCTGTGGGGAACTCAGATTTTTGTGGGGACAATATGTACCAACGCCCCACCAACCACCCTGACCATAAAAAATCTGCAACACAACTGAACATCCAGACCGGCTGTTGTGTAACAAAGCTAGATTAGTGTTTGGAGTGTCATAGATTAGCAGTCTGAACCACACCAAACAGATTAAACACTACACTTACATGGCAGACATCAAGGTTTCCACATTAAATCTGTATCACAGTTTAAATCTTTGGTGTTTTATACCTTCATTATTTGTAATTAAAGAAGGAATGCTTTAACGCCACAGTACATAAATTAATTGAATGCATTTTTCATCAAATATCATAAAAGCAAAACAACAACTTTCATCAACAATAAGTTGATTAAATTACACAGAACTGTTTATTTGTTTTTAATAAATTTAAAACAAACGAGCAATTATCACATCCATCCATCCTTCCATTATCTTTACCCGCTTATTCCATTTTGGGTCACGGGGGTCGCTGGTGCCCATGTCCAGCAATCACTGTGCGAGGGGCGAGGTACACCCTGGACAGGTTGCAAGTCCATCACAGGGCCACATAGAGTCAAACGAGACAAACAACCATTCACTCTCCCACTCACACCTAGGGACAATTTAGAGTTACCGATTAGCCTAACATGCATGTTTTTGGTCTGTGGGAGGAAACTGGAGTACCCAGAGAAAACCCACGCATGCACGGAGAGAACATGCAAACTCCACCCAGAAGGCCCCTGGACCGGGGTTTGAACCAAGGACCTGCTCGCTGAGAGGCAGCAGCTCTACCATTTGCGCCACCGTGCTGCCCGCAATTATCACGTTCAGATTAACTAGAGTTTAGATAATGTTACTTTTTTAAATCTACAATCGCTGGCAAAAGTTATGGAATTACAATTCTTGGAAGATGTTTCATTTTGTATTAAATATATCACAGCCATACTGCAATGTTTTCTTTCTTTTTTTTCAACCTTTTGGCAAAAAAAAAAAAAAAAAAACTCGAGAAATATATTTTCCTGTGAAATGCAGTGTGAATGCTTATTGAATGATTTCTACTGAAAGTTACTGAAGAAGCTGAAAAGGTTTCATTGCTGAACTGTTAATGGGAGCTGAATTTTAAGAACTGACATTTGCTGAAAGCACAAAAACAGCTGAAATGTGTAGGAAAAGTTGAAAATGGCAGAGGCTGAATATACAAAATTCTCTGAAACTAGCAAAGAAATACTGGAACTGAGCAGGGAAAACAGCTTTAAAATGGTAGACCAATCGTTAGCATGATTAACTCTGTCACTTACAATGTTTCCAAATATCTGGCGTCTGTACTCATCCCTTTAGTTGGCAGCTCAGAGCACCACATACAGAACACCATGGACTTTGTGGATAAGGTGAGGGATGTCATCATGGAGACTGATGAAACAATGGTCTCTTTTGATGTCACATCTCTCTACGTGCATTCCTGTTGATGATACAGTAGAGTTGGTCAGTTTAAAATTAAAATCAGACACCACTCTGAGCAGTAGGACCATGCTTTCCACAGAACAACTGTGTCAACTCTTGAAACTGTGCCTGTAGTCAACCTACTTCACATATGGGGAGCAATATTATAGGCCGAAACATGGGTGTGCTATGGGGTCTCCAGTTTCTCCTATTGTTGCCAACCTGTACATGGAGGAGGTAGAAAAGAGAGCCTTGAC